TCTAAATGTATCTCTTCCTTTGCTGGAAAGAGGAAGGTCAGACCAGCATAATTGATGGTTATCTTGCTGGGACAGATGAAAAAATAAAATCACTGCAGGTTTATTTAGGCTCTGAGAAAGGTCTGGCAGGTTAAATCACACTGTAGTTTTAAATAAATTGCCTTCTTCTGAAAGAGGTCTGTGGAAAGTAGAGAAATCGTTCATCACTGTTGCTTCAACCTTATTTTTGTCTAATTTTAGGCCATTGCATGAACTCAGAATGAGTTGGGTGTTTTTATTTGGCTCTAAATCGCTGGGTATAGCATCTCTTCGTTATACCTACCTGAGTCACGCTATTCTGGACTAAACTCTTTTTGCAAATCTGCATGTAAGCATTTGTTAAAGTAGCTCTAAAAACAATTATTCCTGTTCTTGACTCGCTGCTTGCCTCGGAGCAAAGCAAAGCCAGAATCTCTCTCTTTGCTCCTGGAAGGAGCATGTGTAGCTCACTACTACATAAAAAATAGTGAGTTCAGGGAGAGGGAAGGTCCCTATGTCCTCTTCCCCATCTGAATCTCCAAACCACAGGGCTGCAGCAGGGCTCTGTGGGCATCTTTTGTTTCAGAGAAGGGAGAGTGTGCCCAGGTATCTTCAGAACGCTTGGGGAGGGCACCCTTGGGAATAGCACACTGTCTCAAAAAATCTCTCCAATCACTTTGTAGAGGGCTTGCAAGAGAAGAGGCCTTTGCCCTTTCCAGCTCCATTTTGAACTCTTGTGACTTCTCCAAGCAGAGGCAGAGGCTAACCCTAACCCTAACCCTAACCCATCTGACCACTCTGAGCTAACACTGCTGTGCATGGGTAGCCAGGGTCTTTCAGGCCACACAGGAGAAGTTTCCATGTCTTGTTTGTGAAGGGCAATATGACTACACCCATTTTTGGCAGATCACAGACCACCCAGTAGGCTAAACAGCCCAATCTGCCTGTAGTTACCACACGCTGACACCATTAAACTGAGACAGCTGAACTTTGAGAAACAGGGCTGGCAGCTACCTCTATATAGCAGTATGGTGTAAACCAGAGCATGTTCAGGAAATGGAGCAATGTCCAAGCCCTCAGCACCCATCTCTGAAGCAAAAGGCAAGGAAAAACTGCAGCAGCCATCCTCCCGTTTTTGAAGGGGTCACTCCTATTGCGTGGAGGACCATTGTTGACCAGGTGTGGGATTCATGGAGCCGCAGAACACAGCTGGCAAACAGCCTGTAGCTACTGCCTATGTGGTGAAGGAAGTTATTCAAAATGAATAGCCCTGACTGTAATCCTAATACTAGCTTAATGAGCAAAGGCTCTTTAAGGCAAAAACACAAGCTGTTCCAAGGCTCAGAAACTCATTTAGCAGTGGTTTGGTTGCTTGTTTTATTAAACACACAATTGCCTAATGTGTGACGCCCGATGCTTCTTGCAACTCCTTCACCACAAAAGGAAGACCTGCAGACATAATATCCTGAGCTTCATTGCTGGCTTTATCTGAGGCACTGGATAATTAAGCAGAGTGCACCATGGTGCTCTGAAGCTCAGCACTGTCTCCAGGAAGAATCTGGGGTTCTCAGTGCTAGTTCCACATACCTCTGGCTGCCTGGCCAAGACGTGGAGTTTGCAACCACAGCAGAGGTTGCTCTGAAAGCTGAAGAAGGTTGAAGAATGCACATGGTACAAGACACCTTCAGTTTCTTATTGACACCTTCCACAAACAGTGTGGGCAATTGATTTCTTTTCTCCTCTTTCATACGATAAAGTATATCACATCCTACCTTTGCAGGTGGTGCTAGTACAGATACTAGCTTTCTCTTGCTTCAGTTACAGCAAACCCCTTGCAATTTCCTTCATATATACCATGGGGACAGTGTATGAGCATGAATCAAAGAAAGGGTTAAATAATTTTTTAAAAAGAGACAAAAGAAAACAAAAAAGGAAATGTAAAAGGTTTTTTTCTATAAGATGATGATCAGCTCTTGTTTACCCAAACCACTTTACTCACACCTACACCAAGCCCACTTGATTTTCCCATAAAGGGCACATACTTAACTCAACCCACAGTGCTGAGAGATCATGCTGTTAACTCCACACTACTTGCTCAGATAGCTTTTAAACAAAGTCCACTTGTGTTTTTTTATGGTGCCAGTGCTGCTGCGATATTACAACCCCTTGAGAAGGGGAACAATAACACACACTATTGTGGCACAAAGAGAGTACACAAATCAATTTCTGCAGCACAGGAGATTAGAGGAGATAAACTGCTTACTCCTGCAGAGGCAAAGCACGCGGCACCAGCGAAGAATTTTGGTTTGCACGTGGAACAGACAGCAGTGCCTGACACCACAAATCAACAACTTAAAACCTACACTTCCATCAGAAAATGTTAGTTTGCCATACAGTGACAATTTATGCGGACTTGTTTGTAGCAGATCTCCCTCAGATCTCTATAAATGTGAAGCTGCTAATAAAAGGTCAGTGTAAAAATCATACTTTATATGCAGAAAGAATAGTTCGCTAGTTCTGTCTCTTCCCTAACATTCAAGCTTTTTTGAGTATTTGCAGTAGAGAAAAAGTAATCAATGTTTGGAAATTTGATTTAGAAGGTAAAATAGGATCTGATCTGGGAAACTCTAAAGGAGGTGCTTCTTACTATGTTTGAACTTGACTTCACTGGGATTTAAGCACATGTTAATATAATGCATATACTTGGCTACTTTCCTGGCATAAGGGTAACTTCTGTTATGACAGTCTGAAGGATACAGATGGAAAAATGTACTCTGATAAACAAAGATACAGCACACGGATTTAGTACTGGATAGTCATTAGTTACCAGCACAGACTGGAACTGCAAATACTGCATTAATGGAAAATTGATAATGAGAAATCTCAGCAAAGCTCATACTCCAGACTAATCTAAAGTAGAAACTTCTGGTTTATTTTAATGAGATCTATTCATTTTGTAAAAGAACAAAGGAACAATAGGTTTGTGTTTAATATCAAAGTACCATTCTTGATCTACAGATGAAACATTCCCAAGACTCCCAGCAGATCTACACAGACTAGAAAGCCTGTCATATGCATGGATTGGAGCTCTGCTTTCCCTTTCCTTCCCATAGAAACAAAAAAAGTCACTGTTTTATTCCAGGCTGTTACTCCCTTTACCAGTTTGAACTAGCAGGTGCCGTGCTAGTGCACAGTATTGAACATCTCATAGGGCTTCTATCAGGTGACTCCCTAAGCCCCAGTTACAATGAATGCACACAGACTTCCCATAGTAGAAATCCTGGGGCCTCTAAGCTGGACACTATATGGTCAGCAGTGTAAATCCTCCTGCGCTTCCCCCTTCTGACAGCCCAAGGTCTGAAGGCCAGGACCCCCCTTGAGAGTGTTGCCACCAGAGCAGTGTCACAGGATGTCTGTGCATTTTTCCTGGCATGACAATGCCTAATGCAGCAATTCATAAAGTGGTAAAAATAAGTTTCTTTGCTATTATAATTTACTGCTATCAGGATAGCAATATAAACTGCACCAGCAAAAGTAGAGAGTCCATAATAAGATACTTTTGTGTGTAGCTATGACAACAAATTTGTTAAGTAAATGTAACAGCCTGGTCCAAATGCTTCTGTTGATTCTCTTATTGACAAAATATCTGTCATTGCAGGTTAAGGGGTCTGCTGAAGTTATTTGCCTCCAGCAGGCTTTATATATGAATTACCTTGAGGTTTCTTGGCCTCTTTCTGCAGAAAATTCATAGTATCTTAGGGAAAAAAAAAATGAACCCACTTTCTATGGCCTTGAAAAGCAATGCCAACAGCAGACTAAGTAGAGATTGCAATAGCAGCCATGACTGGGGCACTGCCACCCGGGAGGACTGGGATCCTGGGGCAGCTGGCCTTGGCCTGCGGACAGCATGGCTTGGGGCGCTGAGCCTTCAGAAATCCATGAGAAGTCTGTGCAGCACTGATGGTACAGGTGGGTTTACATTTCATGAGATGTGAGAAGTAGTACTGGACTTTCTGCACAAAGCACACATTGGCCCTTTACTGTCTCAGACCTTTTCTGCACTAAAGAAACTGGAAGTTGAAAATACCTCAGCATTGAGCCAAACACTGTCAGGACAAACTCTTGCAGATCTCTTTGGCTTTAAATAAAGATACTGATGATGACTTTATTCACCCATGCTCATATTAAGATGCCTTTTCCAAAGCCTAAGTTAGTGTGAGTATATTTTTTAATGGTGCATGGTGTTTCTGCAAATGGCTGCTACCCTTATTCTGCCTCTTCTTTTTCTGGGGTTGACCTGAAGTGAGAACTCATTGCAAGGGGACAATTTTTTGATACCTCTGATGCAGTGATAGCATATAAGTGCGGAGAAAAGCATCTGAACTAAAACATTGTCCAGATGTTATGACAGTGTCCTCTTAATCTCGGGTGCTCATGTCTGCATGCACACAGATCGTCAGCAAAGAAACCAGTAATTTGGCTCACAAACTATGGCACTATTATTTCATGCAACGTCCTTCAGGAATGAATGGACATATGTTCCCCCTATCTTGATGAGATTACATAGTGCAGTTTGATGTACAGGCAATACAATTCTGTGATTATGCCTTAGAAGAGTAGCAGATGAACTTGTCAACCCATCTCAAGTCACATATAGCCATACAGTAGCATGTGGAATGAAATCTTGGTATCCTGAAGCAAAAGGCAAATCTTGGACAGAAGTAAATAATTAGTCCATGGGAGGGACTGTTTTTTGGTCACAGCCCAATCACCATCTCCTCTGGGGACATCAGCTGCTCTACGAAGCTTGAGAAGAGGATGCAGCATGTGACAACTGTGAAAGGTTGAAGAAGAATGCACAGTTCCCCTTCACCTGCCATTCCCACCTCATCTCCAATACCTCTAAATGCAGCCTGATGTATTCTTTTCCTTTTCAGAGCTCATTAGTGACACATCCAGCTCCTTAGTGACACATCCACCATGAAGACCACAGTCATTGCAATCTTCTTTGGTAAGTGCAGTTGGTGTGCTACAATTAGTAGTTCGTGGGTTTTTGTGTTCCTGCCCTGGCTGACCAGTGTCCACTGGCTTCTTCTCTTCCTTTTGGACTCCATGGCTGATGAAGCTTTCTCAAAGGCAGGTGGAGTAACCCTTGGCACAGCTTCTCAGAAACAGCCTACCCAAATTTCTTGACTTTGGGATAGAAACAATATTAATTACTTGCAAAGATTTCTAAGTACATGACCAATTACATGCAGTCCATACCAGATGGCAAAATGGGCCCTGAAAAATGTCTGTAATGTAAAGATTCCCTCCAAATAAAAGTCATCTGGTTTGGTTTCTTTCCTTTTTTTACAAGGGAATATCCTTTTCCAATTTTAATGTGGTCTTGCTCTTCCCCTGAACAAGAAGATGCCAAAGGGAAAAGGCTATAAATGTCTCCTATTTTCTTTACCTTGGCAGTCAGACAGGATCTTGTTTTTTGGGAACATGTAGAGACTCCAGAATCTGCAATTCATCATACATGAACATTCTGGTTGATCAAGCATGGTTTCTTAGTGTACTTTCCTTAAATGTCTCCCTTTGATGCAGATCCAGCCACCACACAGCCTAACACTGCTGTGTGACTTTAACTGTGATATTCCCAGGCAGTATTCCCTTTAGCTTGGATCCTCAAGTCTAACAGGATAGCTATTCTTAGTTAATTCATAGCTACCTGTATAGTTTCTCTGTCCTTACTAAGAGATCAAATTATGTCCTCCACATTAAATTATGCCCTAACATTGCATGTAGCTAGGACTTTGCAGTTTATTTTTCACTGGTTTGCTCCTTTTTTCCTAACTACAGTTTTGTCTTAGTTGCAGAACTGCACCAGTGACAAAAGGCCCCAACACTGCATCTCTACACTGTCGCTTCAGACACTATGAGACTGATTTTTCCTTTTGAGCAGGTTCTGAGAATGATTAAGTCTGCAAACTCTCTGCAGCAAGTCTAGAGGGAGAAGAACATAAAAAAAAGAAGACTGTTGTTGCATATTCTAGTAAGATTAAATGATTAGAGGATCAGCCACCACATCATAGAGTTCCAATCCCTTTTTGAAAGCTCAGAGAAGGGAAAGGTGAATAGGAAAGTCAGGATATTTGTAATGAAGTTATTAATTGCCCATAATATAGTGCAAAATAAGTAAAGAGAATGAAGAGTGAAGAGTTTTCCTATGTTGTGCACTTAGCAAGTAAACCTAACAACGTAAGATGCATCCATATATCATGTTGTATGTTTCAACATAACAGTTTATGTCTCTTTCACTTTTAAAATCATAATTCTGATTACCAAAGAAAATCAGTTCCCTTGCTGAGACAGGATACTGGGACACACCACAGTAGACCCTCCTACAGTCTGTAATGCTGCTACCACCAGTGAATGGAACACCACAACACATGATTAAAAGTTAACCTCCCTACCAGGCTGTTAAGAAGGATCTTTGTAGCTTCCCAGCTGCTTTATGCCCAGTGCATATTGTTTCACTGCCATCTCTATCACACCGATTAAAAGGAGTTTCCATCACTTGTAGAAATACTGGGGGCTTTCACAGTTTTCTGGACCACATTAACTCAATGGTATCTTTTGGTAGTGAGTTTCACAGATGAATGTGTGAACTAATCTTTAATGCCCTTCATAAAACCGCCTCACAGTAGATGCCATCTTGACTGCAAAGTTAACCAACAGGTAGAAACCTAGATGTAGCTGAGAATATTCCCATTTCATTTTTTCAACCTGATGATTCAAATTTGGGAAATCTCATGCACAGGAGTTTGTTATAGATTGATGCTGATAGTCACCCTTCTTCCTGATACTAAGTTTTCTTTGTTTTAGGTGTGTTTCTCACCTGTACATATGCAGCTAAGGAAGCCACAAGGAGGATGAAAAAGGCTAAGCTATGTAAGTGGTCCCAGTAGAATTCTTGACTGCTTTGCAGGGGGCATGGCTGATGCATAACAAAAAAGTGCAAAGTGAGGTTATATTGGGGTAACTGTTCACAATTGTCTGCAGAGCCAATGGAAGCATATGTTACCTAACAGGTTCTTTTACTGAAATCAAATCACTTAGTAAAGTGTGTGCTGTTGAATGTGTGTAAAGTGAAAATTGTGTGCTTCACTACTAAAATATGTCTTCGTAGGTCATTAGGGACTACTCAAGGATCTAAGCAAGCACAGAGAGACATAAATAGGTGAAATGGACCTGCTGTAACACAAAGCATATGTAGCTGATTAGCATGATCCAAGTGGTGTATATTCTGTGCACTAGGATATATAACTTTCAGCTCTAATGCTGTAAAAGCATCACTGTAAAAGCATCTCTGTCCACAGATCATTTTACTCATCTAGTTGACAAACCAGCCCGCTGTGAGGCAGTGAAATCATGCTTTAACCCCTGGTTCAAAGTAAATTGTACCCAGCAAACGTTTTTAAAAATCAAGACAAGATAATGGGCTGTGGCTGTAGCCTGGTGTTACAGATGGAACAGAGCTACGTTAGCACAGTGGGAGGTCTGGGAAGCATCCTGCCTTGTGTGTGCTCTGTCCTTCCCTGTCCTGACTCACAGCCACCGCTTTCCCTAAACCCTCCTTCCCACGTGTGAACCACGGCCTGGGTAACTACATTTCTTTCTCTTTCCAGCAAAGTGTCATAAAGGATATTTCCTTCAAAGAAGCAAACACTGAAGGTTAGAAATACCCTGAGGCTGCTTTATTCCATCCTTAGTTACAGCCACATCCCTCGGTATAGGGGGCATTATGTGTTATTTTAGAGATGCAGAACACATAGACATGTCTTGTAACCCAAAACCGCTGATACAGAGGTACAAGAGGAGGGCATCCCTGACACTCAGTTACTCATTGTTTCATGACAAGATCACTCAGCTATGAAAACAATCACTCTGACTTTACGAAGATTTTGTACTCACAGATGTGCCCCAGATCGATTGCGATGTCAAGGCGGGGAAGATAATAAATCCAGAATTCATTGCAAAATGCCCTCCTGGGTGTCAAGATGTAAAATACCGTGTTTATGGCACAGACATTTATGCTTCCTTTTCCAGCGTGTGCAATGCTGCAATTCACAGGTGAGTGCATATAAATGAGCAAGGGGCTCAGAAAAACATGTCATTTGGTGTAGGGAGTTCTCAGCTTCTCAAACCCTTTAAAGTTCCTACTGCCTTGTGGGTTTGACTGCACACTGCTCTTCTAGTAGAAAACCTGTGAGAAAGACCATGTGTGATGCAAGTGATCCACCCTTTAAAAGTGCTGTCAATCCTATACAATCCCGTGTCCCTGTTCAAATCAGTCATGTTTGAACACACTTCTCAGTCTTTGGAGAATTGTCTTGAGAGCTGCAGATCTCTCATTCATGCATAGCAAATTGCTATTCTACTGTTCTTATCCAAGCAGAAGATAGGATAGAGCTGCTGCTACTAATAAAGCTTCAGAAAAAATAGGCATATCACAAGGGATGAATGCATAAAACTCTCATACTTCTGGAATTGGTTTTGATTCTCCAGATTTGAATTTAACTGTCCTTGACATCAAGAGCTGTCCTGCTACAGAAAAGTCACTGAAGCAAATTTACAACATGATTTTATGGTGCAAATTTTGCTGAGTTTGATTATCCATGCAAAAAGGTGCATAAAATTTTAATGGAGAATAACTTCACCACCAAAACACACCATAACTGTAGGCAGGATGCAGGGACAGGATACATTCAGCTGAAAATGCAGTAAGAATTCATAAAGCCTGATTGACAACGTGACTTCATACAGAGTTATTTGAGCTACTGCAGTGCTTCCAGTTCTGTGAAGCAGCTGAATATTTCGGGACTCTGTACCTTACCTCTGTGCTGTGCAGAGCGCAGGCTGGCGTGCCTGTGTGCATAGGGCTGCCACCTCCTGGTGTCAGCTCTGCCCGCTCAGCCCCTTGTTAGGGGGTGACTGCTGGGTGACTGGCTTTCAAACCAGATTCTTCCTTCAGATACTAGTGTACAATGGAAATTGTTTGTCTCTGCACACAGAGCTTGTCCCAAAGGGGAACTACAAAATACTGATAGAGACTGCAGTTTCCTCCGTAGCTCAAATGCTGGCTGTCTATATTGTTGCAGTGAGGGTTTCCAGTTTCCTTGTTTGCCAGCTGGGTTTGGGTGGGTTTAACTTATATGCTGCATTTCTGCAGACAGTAAATTTCCTTTCCTTACAGTTGTATTACTAGCAGCTTCTTGTAATCATCTGAGAAAGCTACAGCTCTAACATTTTCTTCACCATTGTTTGCTGCCCATTACTTATTTTCCTTCCAGTCCTACTGCCCCTTTCGTGTCACAGTCACTTCCCGGTTTGCCTGCTCTACTAATGATGCTGTGTCAGGTTGTATGCACCAAAGGTTTACTGTACAAAATGCATTTTATGTCATGTCAAACACCATTTAATGTGCCTCACACATGGAGCCTGCCAGGTTTTCTCTGCTTCCAGCAATATTGTGTTTAGTTTACTCCAGGCTGAGGTCAGAACCCGGCTGAGTTTACTGCAGGTGATACATAGGGGAACTCAAAGAAAATGCTATTTTTTTTTTTACAAAAGAAAAAGTCAAGTAAGTGGGAGGTTCGCCTCAGATTTGTATTTCTGTCATCACGCGGTTGGCTCCAAAACTCCTCTGAGTACCTCTACTTGTATCTTCAGTCATTCAATCAAGCTCGTAGGAATTTTAACGAAGGCAGTAGCTTGTTCTTGTGTGCAACTAGGTCAACCTTAAACACAGGACCAGTAAATCAGCAAGAATAGCAAACACATCCTGACAGCACTTTGTAACAAACTGCTCTTCTCTGTGTGGAAGAAGCACAGGGCACAGAAACACAGATACTCCTTAGCAGCAGACTTAGTAGTAGTGCCACAGCTCCACTACAGCCCCTGGTTTAAAGGTAAAAGTGAATGCTTCCTACCTCTTGCTTTGTTGAACAGTCTCTAAGTTTTTTTGGGGGGGATTTTCTGCCTTCAGACACCATGTTTTCCCGTTGCAGTGGTATAATCGACAACACAGGTGGGAAGATCCTTGTCCAGAAAGTTGCTGGCCACTCTGGTTACCGAGGGAGCTTCTCCAATGGGGTCCGGTCCCTGTCCTTGCCGCGCTGGAGGGAGTCCTTCCTCGTGTCAGGTACCATGGTGGAGCACCAGAGCTGCCTGCCCTCCCCAGCTGCTCCCCACTGCCCAACCATCCAGGCAGCAGTGGGCAGAGGGGGCAGCAGCCTTCTTTAGAGACCTGTTTAGTCACCACAGGCCCACCCCACCTGGTTTTACCATCAGTAACACATTTGAGACCATTTTTATTATGGGCTTCCTATATAGCCTGCAGAGAGACATATAACTTGCCAGCAGTGTGCTTGGTTCAGCCCCAGTGTAGGTCTGAGCCTACTGCAAGGGTAACAGGCAGTCTGAAGACATCTTCATTCCTGCTACTGATGCATAAAATCAGAGCCTTGGTATTGACAGGGAGGTCTTCCTATTTGCACTCACTTTCCACCGTGGTAAATACTGCTGCTAAGGGAACTAAAGAGCCTTTTGGCCATTTGAAGCATCCTCTGCCTGCACCTGATTTCCCACCTTCTAAAGTGACTTTTGTCAACCCACCTCAAGTGGCATATAGCCATACTGCGTTTATGCAAACCCTGTGTTAATTAATTCAATTGGTGCATCCCAAGTATGTTGCGAATTCTCCCCATTGCTACTAGCCAGTTTTGATGTCAATGCAGGGAAATCCATCTTAATTTAATGTTCATTCATTTCTTGCCCCTGTATTATATACCGCAGCTTACTTGCATTCACTGACAAAATTCACAGATACTTTTTTCACCAGCTTTATATTATCTTCAATCTACCTGCACTAATTCTACCTGTGAGAAAGGAGGGTCCCATTTACATTGTTTTACATACAGTTTCTAAATCTAACTTCCTGCTGCATCCACGCAGGGTCTCAGTTCTTGTTGGTCTACACTTAGGTTTAGGATAGGTATGACCAATTGATATTAGTTAACTACTTCATTCCTGGAAAAATCAACACCTCGAGCAACTGTACAGGCACTAAAAGTAAAGAAATGTTCTTTTCATGTGAAAGAAACTGACCAAAACGGACTGTCATCTGGAGTTTACATTAATATATTTGGATGCATTTTTTACAGCATTCTGCCATGGGTACACCACATTATGAGGAGGATTTATTTTGGATAAGTAGGAATTTCCTGGAATAGCTGAATTGCTTCTTGTACTTGTTGCTGGTTTTTCCCTGACAAACAGCACATTGTAATTCTGGTACATAAATGGGAAATGAGGCTTTTTTACCTCAGCAGCTGCTCAGTTGTTATCCCATAAAACTGTAGGAATTTTTGATTTATAGTAACAAACCTTTATTCTTAATTAATGAGACACTGTATAAGAAGATAAAAGAGAAAGTTACAAGCACATGTAAGAGGAGGTGATAAGAAATCTGGGTATGTGTAGGCATGATGGGGTTTGTCCCTCATGTGTTTAATTTTACACATGCTGAGTGCTCTCACTGATGTCAGTGGAACTACCTGGTTTATAAACTAGCTCAAGCAGAACTCTAACATAATACATCCCATAACATATATAATATCATATTTCATATCTAAATAGGAGGAATACTCTCACTATACCTACTGAAAATGTAGGGATTCTAGAATTTTAGTGGGAAATTTAAAAGACTACAATGCCAGGAAGGCTGTGTAATTCATCTCAGCAGCCTGAGGCTGAATGCAGATAGATCTCACTCACAAAAAGAGATGAGTGGGGTTTGGGTTGTTTGGGGTTTTTTTTACAATTTTACAATTATTAGTCATAAAAAAGAGTTGCTTAAAGCATTCCCCAGTAAAAACACAAAGTCACCTAAAGCATTATTTTTCAGGACAGCTTTAGAGCTTGAACTGAGTTCCCTATTCTCCAGCCAAATTCCTTTTTAAGAGGCCAAACCTGTGTGCGATACTGCACCCTGGTAATGTGCCAAGAGTTTATTCCTAGTTAGAATATTGTCTCCAAGAGTTTGTGATGTTTAAATTGTGAATGAGCATCCACACAAAAGAACACAGAAGAGGAATCCTCTGGTGAAGAAGTGGCGTGATTTAGGGGCAGTGGGGAAGGAGGTCTGTCCTCTGGGATTAAAGCAGCCAGCACACCAGGAGGTATGCAAATGCCCTGGTATTCACTTTCAAGCACTAAAATGCTTTGGTGCTCAGCTGAATGACTCCATTCACTTTAGTGGCAGTTTTGCAGCTAGTGGTTTAGGAAAATAGAGTCCTAGAAGCCTAAGTATGCTAGTCACAAATAAGCGTGAGAGGGTGAGCAACCACCACCCCATTGCTTGTACTTCAATGTCCAGAAGCTGAGGTTTTCAGCCCACATGTAAATCCATTTTTAAGTACATTAAGCAAACTCCAACCTAGATGTAACTTCTTCCAGACAGTGAAAAAGACATATTACCATTGCCCCAGAGAGCAGGGCCACATTCAGGCCAGGCTTCAGACCTACCTCGTGATCACAGATGGAACGCAAGCTGCTGTTGATCAAAAACCCCGTAGTCCAGGAGCAGCCAGCATCCCCACACTAGTTAGCTTATTTGCACAGCAGTGGGCTTCAGGTTTGCATTAGAAATCAGATTAGCACAGAAATACTTTAAATAAAGATCAGATTATTACGCTAGTGCTGCATCCATGTACCAACCACTCATACCTGACAGCTCTGCTTCTGTTGGGGATAAAGAAATGCATTTAGAAATCATCTGCAATCCTATACCTTTTCCATGTTTCTACCAAACTGGCAGAAGAGCTCCCGGGTCCTCCTTGGCTCCTGATCCCAGTTTTAGCTCCAGGAAAAGTGGATGTGAAAACCTGCATCCCTTCACTTAAGCCAGCTTCTGAGAAAGGCTTAGGCAAGAAGGAAGCTCTTTCCAGGTTGTTCTTCCATGCTAACTGGCCTGCTCTGGTCTTTGGTGAATCTGTGCTGACTTCAGTGGAGCTGCTTTCATTTTATACCACTGTAAATGAGAAAGGGAACAGCTCTTTCCATCATTGCCTCTGCTATATACATCTTCCCAAAGAATCTACCAAGTAACCAAGGGAATAAAGGAAAGCAAACCTAGCGTCACCGTCACAACTCAAGTTTTGCAGGAGGTGGAGGTAGGTCTCATCTGAGGTGGTCCAGATGCATGACACAGCACAGCATCTTGCAGAGACAGTCACCACAGTCTGGAAATCCTACATCCACCAGTTCCTAGAGTCCAGGGCTGTCTTCCCTATACTGCCACACTTTTCATTCAGTCATATGTGGGAATATAAAAACTGCCCCAAAAGATGAAATTGCATGTCTGCATGTACCAATAGAGATGGCATCTGCTGCAGCACTAAAAAGATTTGCGGTTTAAAGCTTAACTGGGAAACGTGCCTCATTGTTTTAAGACAGGATCCTCATTTTAGATATAAATATAGGTGCCATATGTTCCCACACACAAGCACAGCATTCTCTTACTGTTATTACTGCTAAAGACTATTGCCAGAAATGGCATCTTGCAAAAGTCAAGTCAGAGAAGAATGGTGTGTGCGTGATGAAATGAATCCCACATCAAACATGCTTTCTAAAGTCAATTGTATAGTTGGGCTCTGGAAAAGGTTGCCTAGGGAAGCCATGGGCTTAAGTACAGGTTACACAGATGCCCTTCAGGAATGGCTCCCATATGCTTAACACCATTTGAGAGCAAAGGAATAAACAGACTGCCCTCTCCAAATCCTTCCCAGGACTGTGTTTTCATGCTTTCTAACCTTTTTTTTTTATGATGCTGGATTTAGGCACTGGCATTTTTAGTGACATGGTTTCGAGATTCTGCCATCAGAAAGAAAAATGAGTTGAGCAGTAAAGAAGTGAGGTCTGATTCTGAGCATGTATGTTAGATGAGAATTTTATTGCAAGAAAACTTAGAATATTTTGTGATGTTTTCTAATTGTTGTTTTGTTTTTCTAAGAGGGCAAGCCAAGAAAAGGTGTGACATATCCATCAACTCTGGAATATTCCTCTTCAAAAAGCACAGCTGTTAAATCAGGCAAGTAATTGTGACTGACTTTCCCTTACATCCATTCACAACTATATGTTCCAGCTTCTCAGTTGTGCGACGCAAAGATATAACTATTCAGAGTAAGAAGATCATGCATCCCTTAGCATCTCATCAAAATCTGTCATGGTATTTTTTTATGTTAAGCATATGGAAATTATCCCAGACAATTTCTATTTTTTGGTCACCATATTTCAGAGACTTCTGTTTCCAAGTGCTTTCCCCCTTGCTTTAAATCTGTTAGTGAGTATGATGTTGTACTGATTATTTGAAAGCATCTGAGGTTATGCACATTGACTTTCTCTGATGTTATTAATGTTATCTCTTGATATACAGTGCTGAGAGTATAATAATAAAAATAATTATATAATACTAATGACACAGATGGCAATGCACAGCAGCTTTAGCTAAGGATGGTACTATAAGGAACTACTCTGTATAACCATTTTAGTCAGCATCCTACACTGTAAGACTCAGTTTAAATAATTTAGTTGTTTTCAGAGGTCTTTGATCAAGTCTCACACCAGGTGGTAGCTGATATTCAAGAGCACATGAAGTGCCCCTGTCACTGAAATGACACTTGTTTGTGCCCCCTGTAACAACTGTTTAAAGTTCAGTCTATTCCCATGGGGATGTGAATGAAAACAAAATGAATGTCTTGCATTGCTATACACTTCCCTAACACAGCTCTTTGGCTGATTGCTGAGCCTGAGCCCCCTGAGCTTATCCAGTGAGCTGTGGTGTAACAAAACCTGCCTTAGCTTCTCCATGAACTCAAAAGCCTGTCAGTGGGTGCATCCATTCAAGGGCACACAGAGGTTACTTAGAGTCCTTCGAGTCCATCTCCTGTACATTATTGCTTGGTCCTTGGAAGCGAAGTAAAGAGCTTTTTCCTCATCTTCAGGTTTTTATTTGCACAAAGGCAAATCTGAAAGCTGTAGCTGTTCAGACTGAGTATGCATCACTCAAAGCTATGCCCTTAGTTTAGAATACCTTTGCAGTCTTGGCTTTTTCTATGAAACATTTGCTAAAACCACATCTCATCGTTCCCAAATATACCCAACACTTTAGGCATCAGCCCAAACATCTCAAACTAGACTAGGGACAATCACAGCCAGAGTAGAGGTCAGCAGGCTGAAAGCAATCAGTTCTTCCACCAGTGCTAAACCCACATTATGTAAGAATCAGCACAGAAACAGGGAGCATCACCATGTCATAGCTCAGTCATTCAAACAAAATATCAAGAACATGTTCCTCCAGCAAACCAAAGACTCAAGCAGCTTCCCTTCACTTTGTTCTTGAATCAAACAGGGTGAATGAAAATGCTAGGATCCTAGCAACAGAGACTGTACATTCAAGCAGAGAAAACCCAGAATGATCAAAGGCACAAATAGTCACTGTTACATGAAATCCAGTGATTGCCATTGCCTTGCTTTGCCCAGCTGTATGCCATAGGTAGTAAAGAAATCTTATGGTCAGAATTCACCTTCCCAAGCCCTGCTTGTCCCTGTCAGCACTCCTTAGCCCTGCCACCTGAGCCCAGTCATCTCAGCTGTTAGAAACAGCTTTTTCTTAAGATAAAGATCTCTGGTGCTAGTGCCATTTTGTGATACAGGATTTCCTACTTCTTTTATAATTTTTAAAAAGCTACCATTTTCTTCTGATTTAAATTACATTAAATTACCACATTGTTCACTTGGATACTCAAACCAATTATCAGTAGGACACAAAGGCAGTCCCTTGAGGATTACTTTCACTTGCTGCCAGATTAGCAAAAAGCCCTCATCAGCTGTCAGAGATGCAATTTTGGTCCCCATCCCAGGGACACCAGAGATTCAGAGTGCCTGAGATTTCTTTAAATGCTGCTAAGTGGTTACAGTGTTTCCCAAATTCTGGGCACAGCAAGAAATAACCTTCCCAAAATTGTAACTATTCACAGCTCGTAGAAACAATAAAAAATGCTGGTTTAAAAAAATAACACAAATTTTTAGGAAACCATTATCCCTGGGCTAATTTCTTTAATAGTTCAAAGCTGCCAAAATAACTAGAGAAGAGGAAAAAAAAAGGAAGATCAAAATCCTCTGGTACTCAGTCAGACATAAAAGCAGAGGCAGATTCTTTTGCAGGGTAGCAGTAAATGAACTGCTATAAATTTTCCAAGTACTTTGATGACTTTGGGTCTTAGAAGAATAAAAAAGGACAAAAAAAATCTCCCTTTTCCTTCTAAGCCACTCTGTGTCATTCGGGATTTGGTCCCATGATGATGTGACAGTGTCAGGCAAGAAATAACTAGATCAGAACCTGACTTAGTGCCTGAAATACTGCATGATAACCTGTGTTCCCCAAATGCCCTGCACATACTGTGACCCTGATTCTGAGGACACGCTGCTACTCAGAAGAAAAATCAACAACATGATGCATTATTCTCATGAGTACTGGTTTATTACTGGTAAAACCCTGTATTTATTGCTCACTTCAGAATTTCTATTGATATTGGCAGGAAGTTTTGGGCAGTAAAAATGCCTAAATTAAGCACCAGAAATAGGGGTTGGCTACCCTCTAGAGGCACCCAGCCACCACTTTTTCTTTCTTTGTGGGAAAGCTCTGGTTGGACTGACTGACATACCTCGTGCCAGGTGATGGGATGCCTTCCATGGTGACTGATAATCTCTAAATATGAGAGCAAAAAGTATTTTCTGTCAGAGCTACCTTTCCTAACATACTTCATTTTGTTTCAGAGCCTAAAAAGCCAGAGCAAGACCTTAAAATTATGAAGAGTGCAGATAGCACTAACACATCAGAAAAAGCAGCAGAACAAGGTATGTGTTGGGGATCTTGGTGTTCATTTACAGTATCTGTCCCATCTGCAGATGCTTACGGGAAGCAGTCTGACACTGGTAATACATACAGCTTTACCTCCCTCATTCAACATCCTCTCTGCAGCCTCTTTCAGACCAAACCAGTGCCATTATATGAGCACCTGCAGTGGTGCTTGGAAGGCATGTACCAATTCAGAGAAGAGAGGGCACCCTTGCAGTTTAATTTTTGCCTGTTCTTTGGGTGTCATGAACTCCAGAAGCCTGCAATAAGGCTCTCAGCAATTTCCTATGCAGGCCACATGCTATGGGAAGATGCTGTGATGGAGATGGGCACCCTGCCCACAGGAGCACTGGGAACAGCCAGCCCTGGAGAGCCCTTCTCTTGTGTTAAAGGCTCTACCAGAAACCCAGCCAACAAGTACCAAAGCAACATCATTTCTGCAAACCCTTTGAAGATACCGTGAGGGAGATGGGCACCCTGCCCACAGAAGCACTGGGAACAACTAACTCTGTGAAGCCCTTCTCTTGTTTTAAAGGCTCCACCAGAAACCCAGCCAAAAAGCACAAAAGCAACATCTTTTCTCTGCTCTTACTGTGCTGCTTCCTTGGGTTTTCTGCTAATGCTGTTAGCTCCTATCTTCCTTGCTCCTTGCAACCTGGGGTATAAAGCCCTGTTGCTTGCTCCTTGCTCCAGCAGCACCAGATCACAGGGAAGACTCACTGTGGCCTCTGTCTTCTTTCTTTTAGAGCAGCAGTGTGGAGCAGGGCACTGCTCAGCCAAAGAGAGTCATTCATACTGATTTTTTCAGCTGAGTTGTTCTGTTTTTCTTCCGAGGCCCCTTTCAGCATTATCACATTAATACTGTCTGAGATCTGATTTTTTCCACTGCCTAGCATTAGGTGGCAATTAATCCACCAGTTTCATGGTGATGCTTTGCAAAAGAACATCCATCAATAAAACACAAGCTCACCACTCCCTTTCAGTGTACACAGTGTGTCAGGCCACCCCCACGGCTATGGGTGAGAGGGAGGAGAGGAATAAGACTGAGGTGAACACAGAATATGCAGATGGAGAAGATAATGGTGAAGGCTCTTTTTCTGAGATGATGACTTGAAAGAACTGTAAGCGTTTTAACAATTCATATAAGAATATTTAGGATGCAGATTTTGCAACTAGAATTGTCTCTGTTCTCACAACAGATGATACATTTTAAAAGTAGTAGCAACTGTGAGATGAGTTAAAGTTAGATGAAATTGGCATCTCCCAGGTGGTGCGCTCCCCCGCTCTCCTCACCCAAAGCCCTAACGCTCCCTGCTCTGGATCTGACCCTCTCCCTGATTCACCCTTACCTAAAAATTGTGTTTCTGCCAAAAGCATTTCAGTTCTGTGGTGGGCAATGCATATTTTATTCTGATCTATGACTCGGAATGGCCATCTTTTATTGCCAGATGCCAGCAGATTTCCATTTATATGGACTTTCTAACTGCTTAATTGTGCTGAGAAAAGATGATGCAAAACAGAAACTGCAACTGGCTGGTTGAACCATTTCATAGCTCTGAGACATCTGTCAGGTTGATTGGTGTTCCTGGCCAAAGAAGAAGAGTGTAGGGAAATCACTAAGGCTGCAACAGGTTGTTGTCAGCACCCTCCGGAGAGTGGTGTAAGACTGTGTCACACAGGCATCTGTGTTACACATCCACACAGCAACAAAGGCTCTATATGGCTCTGCAGATGAGGATGCTTGTAGACATCTGAGAAGAACACCAGTGTCTGGGTTGCCTTAAATAGTGAGCATGGTTAACAATGCTTCCATGTATGTCACACATCCATCGATTTTCCTACAGGGGACACAGTCCACAAAGAATATCAAACATCTCCCATGCCAACACCAGCTACACAAATGGCCACCACAACCCCAACACCAACAACCACGACAATGGATCCTTCTACTACAACGCCAAAGCCAACCACAACACCTGCAACAACCAGAACCACAACAGTTGCAGCTGCAGCCAAGACTAGACCGGGACTGCATAGGGTCAGAGATATAGGTCAGTAGCAGGCATGTTTGCATTGCTTTCCTCCTGACCTACAGCTTCCCTAAAATTTAAATGACAAGACATACAGCTGAATATGCCATGATTTAGTGGATCATGAATTCAGTAATTCAATGTAGAAATATTAGGAATGGATATAAAAAAACATTTCCAGATGGGCTGGAGTTGTGCCTTTGAGATACATACAGAATTACTGTGTCTCACATAAACACAAGCAAGTGTAGATTTGCTGAGATGGGAGTTCATCTGCAGTAAAATTATGGCTAGTCTTTATCTTTACATAAAATGTATTGGCCTATAAGCTCTTCATCCTCAAATGCTGCCATGATTTTCAGGTAGAGGGGTCAACAGAGAGTTCTTTGATTCACGTGTCTGGACTGAGAGTTCAACACATAGGTCAACTCATTTTAGAATTAATTTTGTGGTAACTTTCAATAAATGAAAGTTTTAATATATTTTTTTTGTAACAGCCTTCAGATTATAAAGATTAAAACACTGTGAAGGCATTCTCATATGGTTTTTGAACACCAGGTTTTCCTTAACCTTTCCTTCTCCATTTATTCTTATTCATTAACATTGGGCTTTTTTTTTTTTTTTCAATAGCTGAAAATTAAATTCTCTTATTTTTAGGTTCTAGCAGTGTTCACCCAGCATACTCATCTGTGGTAGCTGCAGCATCAAGTAAGTATGGTGAAGTAAGTATGCCACAAGACATGTAGTACAGTGTATTCTAAAGCAGCAATGAGTCAATAGCCTTTCAAGCCTCAGCAAACTCAGTGACTGGATCCAAGTCCAGATTTAAACTGAAAAATAGATGCTTGGCCTGAATGTTAGAGATGCTGATTGCCTACAGCTCTGGGGAAGCCTTTCTAGTGAATATCTGCATTTCAGCCTTGACAAATGCTGGGGTTTGCAACACTTGAGACAAGCCTTGTGTTGTTTGAATCATGTTTTCCTATTGCTTCCTTCTTATGCTCTCAAAGGGAGACTTGAGTTGTAAGATAAATCATGCAAAGCGCTGCATAGCCATCTAAATTTAGGGCTGAGAGCTCTGAAATGCCGATTTATGTTAAACCAATGCTCTTTCAAAAACCTCAGGCTGTGGTTCTGAGCCTGGCATAAATGTGATGTTATTCCTGGCATACCACTTGCGTTACTGACAGCAGAGTTGTGGCTGCTCAGGGCTCTGCATCTCAGTCCAGAAGCCTGCTCCCAATCCAGCTCACAGCCTGCAATGCAAGTATTCCCCAAGCACAAATACAAGCTAGGTGAAAAATGGATTGAGAACAGCCCTGAGGAGAAAGACTTGGGGGTGTTGGTTTACGAGAAGCTCAACATGATCCAGCAGTGTGTACCTGCAGCTCAGAAAGCCAACCGTATGCTGGGCTGCATCAAAAGGAGCGTGACCAGGAGGTCAAGGGAGGTGATCCTGCCCCTCTACTCTGCTCTTATTTGCCCCCAACTTGAGTTCAGCTCTGCGGCCCCCAATGTAAGAAGGACATGCATCTGCTGGAGCGAGTCCAGAGGAGGGCAACAAAGATGGTCAGAGGGCTGGAGCACCTCTACTATGAAGACAGGCTGAGAGAGCTGGGGTTGTTCAACCTGGAGAAAAAAAGGCTATGGGGAGATCTTATATTAGCCTTCTAGTACCTAAAGGGGCCTACAAGAAACGTGAAGAGGAACTTTTTACAAGAGCATGTAGGGATAGGACAAGGGTGAATGGCTTTAAATTAAAAGAAGGAGATTTAGATTAGTTATTAGTGAAAGATTATTTACTATGAGGGTGGTGAGACACTGAAAAGGTTGCACAGAGAATTTGTGGCTGCCCCATCCCTGACAGTGTTCAAGGCCAGTTTGGATGGGGCTTTGAGCAACCTGGTCTAGTGGGAGCTGTCCTTGCCCATGGCAGGGGGGTTGGATCATGATCTTTTAATTTCCCTTCTAACCCAGACCATTCTATGATTCTGTGACTCTTATTTAGAGTTGTTTCCCCATACAGTGTGTAATTGGTTGGCTGTGTGGTCAAGTAAAGGAGATTATTTTTAACTGTTTACAAGTTTTTGGGCATGGGGATATGATTACTTTTGAACAAAAAGGTAGCTGGATCCCCATTAAGTTTAATACTCAGTCACTGTTTCTGAGTGCCTTGAGCTCAGCTTTGCTCTCACATACATAACTGTGGATGTCCCTACTGCCAAGTAATTCAGAGCCAAGCACATGGTAGAGCACAGAAGAGGCCATTATTGTTTTTACTAGCAATTAGGAAACCCTGTTTGAGGTTCCCCAGTCAGAGATATACGTTGAGGGTAAAGTTCTGGCAACACTGAAATCAGTGTGAATAAGACCAAACCTTTGGTCAAAAAATTAGAATAACAAAAAAAATTTTAAAACCCCCAAAACTAGCAAAACCCACAACCCCAAGGCACTCACTCTTCACTTCATTGCAATTTGGATCCATCCCTCTTCAAAATTTTCTTTACTGAAGTTCTAAACACAAACTAAATCCCAAAAGATTAAAGTGGTCAGACTTACGGACATGTTATTGTGAGCTGGAGGAGTGGTGGAGACCTACTTCGGGTTTTCTGATTCCAGACTTCATTTCTAGGACCACATCCAACATGCCTGTACTCATGATAAAGCTTCCTGAATTCTCCTGATCCCTTCTTGATTCTAAAGAAGAACTGCTTTAAAAAACAAACAAAGAAACAAACACCAGAAAGGACAATCAGAGTTTTGAAGTGATGACCAGACACAAAGCAGTTTATCAGCTTTCTCTATCTGAGAAGCCTTTGGGATTCACTGCTATTGTTCAGACCCGAGTTTCTGATGATGCCATTGGCCTCAACTGGAGTATGGCTTGACCGAGCAGAATCAAATGTTCTCCTGTCCATCTTGTCTCGCAGGGACACACAGGGCACTGGTAGTTTGTCTGCAAAAGCCACTTCAAAAGTAAAAAACCTTGAAATAGAGCACAATCAAAATAAGCACAGCTGTGGCTGCTGTGAGCTCCTGCATTTCCGTTTCCTGCCACTGATACTGGCAAAAGTTCACAGTGGCAAAGGAAAAGCAGGATTTGCAGATTACAGCATTAGAGCAGGGCAAAACTCCTCCATCCTTGCTAGGGTTCTTTCCCCTCTATCTTCAGTTTATCAAAGATACAGAAACAGGAAAAATACCTGAGGCTCTGTTCCATCACAGGACCCCTGCTTCAAAAGCTTGATGTGGCAAAACTGCTAAATGAAAAACCACTGATGTGACTAGCATGATATTTGACAGCTTATTCCCATCTGCGCTGCTGGCAAGTGCAGCCCTTCACCAGGGCAGCATGCACTCCTGAGGGGGGAAGCAGCAATGGAAGTGGGCTTTGAAAGTGGATGCAAACTCTCTTCTGCTCTGGAAGCAACTTTAAATTCAGTTGTGCTGTGGTATAATGCCAGCTTCTGCCTCTTTCCAACAGCAGTTAACTGAGCAGACTCCCAAGGGTCACAGACTCACTTGATCTCTCTCATTCCAGCTTTTCAAGCAATCCTTTCTCACACAGCTCCTTGGTCCCTAGCTGAGGACTGGGAACAAATCACTGCTGCTGTGCACATTGCAATCAAAAGTCATGTCACACAGGCATGCTTTGTGCACAGAGTAGCTGCTTGCTTTCTCAGATGAGGTCCCATCATTTGCAAGGTCCACTCCAAATTGCATTTCTCTCCACTGTCCGTATGCTTTACTGCCTCCATGCTTCCGTGCTTGCTCCCAAGCTCCCAGCCAGGAGTTGCTTACTCCACTGCTCTCATTTCTGACTCAGTTCTATGGGTTCACAGAGTGACTGCCCAACCCCAGGGTGTCACAAAATTCTAGTCCTGCCTCAACCTTGAGCTTGCACAGAGTTCTGCTTTCCTGAAGACACATTCACATGCTGCAGGCTCAATGGCATCTCGGAGCTGAAGACCACAGAAGTGCAGCCCCAACCTCTCCCTCTCTACCACCACCATGTTGGCTCCAGCCAGCCAAAACATGGCAGAGAACAGCTTGCTGTGGGGAAGCAGAGCAAGTGAGAAGGGCAAAGCACAGTCAAAAGGAACATAGAGAGAAATCCATGTTGCTAACATGGGTGTGGAGGGTAGGGTTAATTCATTTTAAAAGTGGCATAAAATGTTTCTGAAACAAAGCTGGTCTCTCTCTTACGTTGTTTCCACTGACCTTGTAAAGAGTGCTATATTCACACAAGGGCATGGTTGTGGCAAACAGGGTGCATTCTCAGGATCAGAGCTAATTTTCTTCCATCGCTTTGGCACATTCTAATCTCCCATGTGTGAGGCATGTCACACACAGCTCCATACAACTCTGCTGGACAGACAGACTTGTCCCTCCACAGCCTGAAAACAGCCTGGGCTAGCTGCGGTCCATCTGGAGCCAGAGCTACAAGCTTATAGAGTTTAAAAGCATTGCCAGTTTTGGCAGATGAGCCTGTTACTTCCTCAGACAGGATCTCTTTGGCATCTGGAGTTTACAAGGTCTCTCAGGACAGCTCCTAGAAATCCCATCAAAAGGCTTTCAGCAGCCTGTGAAGGTTCAAGCTTGGGTCAAACACAGACTATTTGCTGTTACCTAATTTTGCAATATCAAGTTCCCAAGGAGGAGCAATTCCTGTTTTCTGAGACAACCATTCAAAATGGTCTCATTTATGATATCTTACGGATAAAAATATCTCATAGGCCTTTATCCAGTGTTCACAGGAGCCAGCTAGAACATTCCTACTGATTTCACCAGGCTTTGGAATTAATCTTTCTGAAAAAACTAATGCATAAAGGCTTGTTAAAGGATAAGTTTGTTCACAAGCCTCTTAAGGATAATTAAGAAAAAGAGAGGCAAGATTAAAGACGTGGTTTTCATCTGCAAATGCTTTGAGCCTTTAGTAGTTTTGAACAATGGGAACTTAATAACCTAATCACCTTAAAAAAGCCTTTTGTGTAGACACTGGTGAAGACATTTCAGACACATGAATTCTCCCACATTATTTTGTCATTGTCTCATTATTTACAGTCTGCCTGCTTGCTTATATTTCTCACTCTCTGCAGAAAGGGTAGCATCTGTTCAGAGGAAAGGGAGTATTTTGGGTTTGGGGCCCTTTTTTAACCTCCCTCACACAACCGGTACAACTGGATGGCACTGAAAATAGAAATAAACATAGGTAACCAGCATGAGTGAGAGAAGGAAAGTCATAAGGGAAAGCAAATCACAGCAGTAACTACGAACGTTTTAAATGCAGACCTGTACATGTAATAGTCATAACAGAAGCAAATGTTAAATATGCTAAACTGCATGAGAGACAGGGCAAGGCAATCCTTCTTCAAGTGGGCTCAAAATAAATAGTTAACTTCTAAGAAAGTATATTAATAAAACTCTCTCTATATGAACCATTAACTCTGAAAGCTATAAAATGAGACTGAGTGAAAAAGCCAGGTAGCAGCACCACTGAATCAAACATGGCCTAAATAACACTTTCCCATTTTTGGTGTTTACTTAGGACAGGTTCAGGCTGCACAAGGAAGAGGACAGAACACAGGTATGTCTTAAATTAACAATGACTAGCAGAACTGTGTTGTGAGAATATTAAGCTTGTGTTTAAGTTACATGTACTAACCAATGTAATATTTTTAAAGCTTTCAGGGGCACGTCCACCTCTGCAAGTAACAGGAATATTTTAAGACCCAGTACAGGTAAAGACATTACAATCCCTCCTCTGATTCCTCCCTATAGCTAGTCCCACCATTCACATTTACTGTAGTGATGCACTGTTTTTCACTTCTAACCATGCTCATAGCAGGACATAGTTAGAACAGATATCACACTGGTTATCGTGTGACAATAGTGGAACTTTTAAGAAAAAAAATGAAAAAAAGAATTATTAAACTTAGAATTGTTCTCAAATTAATATTCTAAACACATTCATAAATGCCTTTTCTAAAACATTAGCTGTTGCAAAATGAGAGGGAGATTTTGGGTAAGTTTGGAGGATGAAGGCCTGACCCCAAGAGGAAACACACTTCAGTTTCCAGGCTCTGAGTGGGAGCTGCATCCCAGCACCCACTACCCCTTTTTCCAGTGCACCAGTGAATAGCTGCACTGTGCAGCCCCTACTAACATTAAGCTCTTCTGCCTTTGCCACACTCTTTCAGCTTTCAAATTCCTCCTTTTCCATTTGGTTTGAAAAGGTGCAGAAAGATAGTTCAGGGCCACCGCATCCCATGTGATCGTGCTTCTCTGTCCTTGCATGGTGGCATCTGACCTCTTGCCTCTTCCTTGAATCACACAGGTATTCAGCGCCAAGAGCCTGTTGCTGCTTTCCGGAGGGCTGACGGCTCCCCATCCCACTTGGGTGAGCAAGATTGCTAGCAGCAGATTTTCTGCTCTCTTCTGTAGTTTTAGCTTCCCCAAATTAGCCCTCAGGCAGTACTGCAGAGCGGTTTTGTGTGTCCCGTGCTAGCTGCCACCTAGCAGCTTCTTGAATGTGAAAGGCAAATGACAGCTCAGTCACCGGCAGGCTGTCGTTTCAGGTCATGGGAATCAAAGTCTACCACCGTGTTTGCAGTTTTCCTTATTTGTTAGTCAAAACAAGAAACAAAATACCAGCTCTGTGCAGCCTATGAGGTCTGCGATTTTTGCTAAATCTTCTCTTCCTGTTGTTGCCAGAAGCCTCCAGGCTCAATGGAACAGCAGAGATTGTTTTTAGTGCCAAGGGTAGAAACATCACCTGTACTTCCCTTCCTCACTGGCTATGCAATTCACCATGCTTCATCAGCAAGCAGCCCCATCAACATGTGCTCTGCAAGGACACTGGCAACTTCCCAGGGCTACTGAGTGCTCAGTGCACTTGGAAACACTAAATCTCCCTTGACAGAACAGCAAAGTTTCTCAGAGACAGATTTTGACCAGGAGCATCCAGTGTGGAGTTGAGGGATGGGATCTGAGGTGGCAGCAAGACAGGCAGGGCTGCCCCTCACCAGCAAGGGTCACAGAAAGCCCCAACAAGAAGAGCAGCGAGTCTGGTGATGGTACCCAGGGCCAGCCAGCAGCCCAGGCAAGTCCCCATTGATGAGACAGGTTTGACCAACTGAGGCAGGACACCAGCAAGGCAAGGTCAGGATCAGAACAGCAAGGTACAAGACTAGGCACAGGTACAAGGAGCAAAGGTGAGGGTGTGTTCACTTCCATGGGGTCCCCAAGCAGAGCAGGTGGAGGGTCCCACGGATGCTTCCCACAGCTCTTTCTCACACACAGCCCTTCTCACAGCTCCACTATGGTGCCCAAACCTGGGACAAGGCTACAGAGCTGATCTTTAGCATGGGCTACCAGATTCCCTGGGGAGGGGGGCATACGGCACATGAAGGTGCCCCTGGAGCCCTGAGAGCTTTGGTGGGGGTTGGAAGCAAAGAAGGGGCATTGCAGCAGGACAGAGAAAAGTGGTTCTTGGTACTGAGGTTAGAGGACGTTACTATGCAGCAGGACTTTCTGGATAATACTGACCAAGTAAGTTTTCCCAGCAATCTCTCCATCAAAAGACAATTTGTAGTTTACCCAGGTGCAGCACATTTAAAATGGATACACTTCTTTCTACGATTTACTGTATTCACTCACTTTTCTAGTTCTCTTCCTTGTTTCAGCCACCATCTTTTCCTTCTGATTTCCCTCCGTGTTTATCTTTCTCATGTTTTTTTGCCATACTGATGTCACAGCCACTTCTTTTTTCCCAATCTCACTTTTTTCTGTGCTCTCCCAATTCACTTTGCCCCTGCAAAATCCAGCACCCACCTTTGGAGGGGAGACAGGGGGCAATATTTTCCTGAACTGAACAGCAGAGCAAACGCATTGCCTGCAATCATGCCAGTCATGACAATGCTCTTCTTATGTGACACCGTATATAGGGTGGGAATACCCTGGGATGTCAGACCTGCCTTCCTGGCAGGCTGAAAGGGGAAGAGCCCTAACATCTGGACTGAAGGATGTGCTGGCTAGTTCTCAGGCTAGCTGCATCTTGCCAGAGCAACAGGAGAATATAGTGCTGAGTCTTGTTTAAATCAAAATCTGAGTTTGACCCCACCTAATCGCTTGAGGCACCTTAAGGTCCCCCCAAAAGTGATTACAAATCACAAACTTCCCACCATGAATGATTCCTTTTCCTTCATCGCAGAACAAGAAGGAGAATACCCACAAACACGTACTTGCCATATTCCCAATGAATCCTTATCTTTTTTTCAGCGGAGGTTTTGGCAGCTCAGATGTGCTGCTTCCAAGCAGTCAATTTTTAATGATAAAAGGGAAACTCCTGAGGAAGTCCTTGCTTTCTTAGAAATGAGAATTGTGTTTCTTGATCCTACCAAGCGCGCATGCTGCTCTGCAAACAGCAGCTATCAGTTCTGCGGGTTTGGCGGGGCTCTCGAGGAACTTCCTCTCGTCAGCTCAGGTTAGCAAAAGGATGTGCTGGGAAAGCACCCTCCTCACCACATCAGTTGCCTGTGCAGCTTCTCACAGCACGCTCTTCAGAAGGTCCCATCTCTTCCAAGCTCTTGACAATGCACATTAGCTCTCTTGAAATCCCCCAGTCACCTAGCCCAGAATGTCTTGCAAGACAATTACTCTAAAGAGTTGCTGTGCAGTGTCTGTTTTTTAAGACTGCAACAGCTTTATCTGGCTGTAACCCAGAGCAAAACATCACTTCTTAGGAAAATTCTTCAACAGGCTCAAAACAAAGACACCTTGGGAGTTATTCGTGAAAGCAGCGATTCTGATGAAGTTTTCCATGTCGGATGAGCTGCAAGTAAAACATAGACAACTTCTTCGTGTTTGGATGGGATGAGGGGATAGAGGAATCCCTAGATGAGAGGTACTTGCAGATTTTCAGTGGAAAACAATCTAAGCCAAGCAAAAGTATACTCAAGTCAGTATATTTGCCTCAGCATCAATGCAATTTAAAGGAACAAGACCAAATCAGATCTAAAGACATATTTAAAATCATAAAAAAAGATTAGTGCTCTGGAGGCAGTGATACGAGGCTCCTAAATACAGCTTGAAATGTGCACATAAAGGTTTCCAGGTTTCTTTAGCTCCTGGTTGTTAATGATAATTCACTGTAAGAAATGACTTTTCTAAATTGAGTCAGAACTTTGTAATCTAGTAATTCCATTATTTTAAGTAATATTGTTTCTTCTCTTTCATGCATGAAAGCAATGGAAACAGACTTGTGGAAACCTGGATTGAGCCTTTTTGACACAGGTAAATATTTTAAACATCCAGTAATTAGTCTGGGAATAACTGGTTTCCATCACACATGGGAAAAGTTAAATCTATCCATCAGACCCATGACACTGCTGATAACAATCTCATTTTAAGGAGTAATTACAGTGTTTAAAATTATGATCAAAGTATGTCATTTACATCTTAGTAGTTAAAATTATTTTGTTCTTGCATCAGTCTCAAATTCCTGCCTAAAGCAGGAGCAGAACAGATGAGCTCTGGAAGAGTTGGCAGCTACACTGCAGCAAAGAGGTTCTAGCTGCTGAAATCCATTTGTAAATAATAAGGTATTTTGGGAATGCCATAGCTGGGACTACAGTCCAGAGTTGCAATCAGTGAAGATGACAACAGATTTTTCTGATGTCAATGTACTTAGGAAAGATTTTCAGGTAAGAACAGGAGGATTTAAGATGAGCTCAAAGAATAATAAAAATAATTGAATTTTTCTGACATTTTAGACTTAAAATTGGTAATATGGAGATGATAACATTTTTATAATTACTGATAAGTGAGGGGGAAAAAACCCCTACATTTGTAGCAGGCTCAAAGAGCAACAAGACCATGACTTGCACAACCCTTAATCAGGAGCAGTTACCAACTGCAGATTCTGTGTGTTCAGTACAGAACACATAGATGCCTTTCCTTTGAACATTTTAAAGCAAACTGCATGAACTACAGGCCAGTTCATGACAGGATACTCTCTCTCTTATGAGGGGCTGGACCATCCAATGTAAGATGTCTTTTCCATCACCAGTTTTATTGCTGAAGAGGGCTTTGCTGGTGGTCCTCACAAAGACCATTCCCTTGAACACTCTGCTTACTTCAAAGCTGAGGCATGACTAATCCTTGTAGTGGCTGTGATGAGCAGCATAGCCCATATGCATTAGCTTGCAAATACAGTGTCAGCAGCAGTGGCTGTTGACTCAAAATTTGCATCATCCCAGACAGGCACAGAGATCCCTTCTCGAGCCTGAGCCAAAGGGAGGAAGCGTTTCTGTCCTCTGTAGCTTAAGCCAGCAGTGTGCTTATTCAGGAAAAGCTACAGCACCAGGCCCAGGAGTGGAGAGGGGTATTTTAAGGCAGAAACTGACAGATTGCATTAAATGCAATGAGAGGTTGCGCATGGGGGAAGGGATGTTGTATTAATAGTTCCTCAGCAACTGAACTGCCTGCATAGACTACTGTGATAAAGTCTGATGAATTCAGATTGTCACTTCAAAGGAATGCTTTTTGGCATGGATGTAGTCACTGCTGCCTTACTTAAATGAATGGGAAGTTTAATCAGCATGGACAGCTGTGACAATCAGTGAAGGGAACTTTAATTAGCATGGAGTAGACTGGCCATGCAGTGAGTTGAAATTCCCATGGCAATAACAACATTAAATTGGACTGATGGGACAGGGAGGCCCATAGAGACTGACCACCTCCCCAATTAGTTGAGGAAGATTATTTGGTGGATGACATTATTGTTACACTAAGCACAAATCAGGCAGATGACCCACAACCTTCGAGAACTGGTAATTGCACTGGCAAGTAACAATGAAAAGTGCTGCATTGCCTACACTTGGGATTTCTATTGTGGCAAAGGTCATGTCAGCTGTATGCCTGGGGAAGGAATATGGATTTGATTGGATGCAGATAAATGCATGATAAACCTATGGATTATTTTCCTTATACAATTTAGTTGCTAAAATGAATGGCACATATTAATATCTAATTTCACCACAGTGTTAAATCCACCTACTTTCTGTTCTGCAAGTAAGGCAAGCAGGGGGGAACTGCACATATGGAATACCAAACCAGCACATGTGAGGTGTGTGGTGAACAGACTGCAGGATAAAGCATGGCTTTGGTCTGTTACTGAGGAACTGTTACGTGCACATGTAATTAAAGCCTATACTTGATCAGTCAGGAGGGCAAGCTGCGGGCCGTTTCAGGTTGTAAAGAAGAAAACCACAACCATTCTCATCTGTATGGCTGACCAAGGGAGACTATGTACAAGTCCAGCTCATTGCTTCCTTTCTCTCTCAGGTCACCCATAACTCATGCACTAGATAAACCCTCCAGAAGGCAGCACTGCCAGCAGAAAGAGTGAACTTGCCTCCAGACACCCTCTGCCCATGCACCAGGGGGTGGGCTTCATCAGGGAGCTATTTTCTTTCTTCTCAAGTTTAATTTGGCCTTTTGCCCCTTCCCCTTGAATTCCATCCACACCAGGCAGGCAGAAGGGCAAGATGGCAGGACAGGAGCGGGAGGGATGGCACCTTGTGAGAGGAGGGCTCAGCCTTGGTTAATGGGGCTGGACTGCACCACCAGCAAGCGTTCATGGGACTGCGCCTACAGGCATTTATACACAGGCAAAGTAAGGGCAAAGAGGGAGCACTGGCAAATCATACAGTCATATTGCTCTCCCAGGTTTGGCAGCTGTGGCTGCTGGTGAAAGAGCCAGAAGGGTTGGCAGATGTGAGTGCACAGTCCAGCCTCAGGCTGCAAGAAACACTTGGCCCTGTGGCCACTTCCTTCAAAGTATTCCTTCCATCATATTTAGGTGATCTCTGCTGATGTTCCTTTGCTGCCTGCTCTCTTCACATACACCAATGCCCTCATGGCTGACTGCTGTGGAAAGACATACTATTTCTATATCAATCTCATGTTACCTTTTTACTGTCTCTCTGTTGTCTTTCCTTGGTGTACCTGGTGATGAAGCTTTAAGGAAGTTTTTCATCTTTATTTTATAAAAATTCATAAGCAGTTTACAAAAATAGTAACCCATTCTGCTGCTCTTCTGACCAACATTTCCTCAGTGAGCATGCAGTTTGGGGCTTGCCTGATCATTGCTGTCTCTCCTGAGGATTATCCCAGCTAAATCCCCTTAATCTTGTCATGCTGTAGTGAAAAGAAACAGCTCATTGCCATTGCTCAGGAGGGAGATGCTGTACTGTAGGACTTTCACCAGACATTCGAGCCATGAGTGAAGTTCAGCCGCCAGCCTGATGATGCCCTGTGAGCTAGTGCATCACACAAAGACATAAACTCATGTTCCCAAGGCTGCTAAAACCTAAATATCTTAACTGGGGTCTCAGCTACAACCCATTAGTGACCCATGAGACTGTCTCCCACGACTTGACTGCAGCTCTCTGTTGACATTTGCCTTGTTTCTTTTGTGCTTTCCAAAGTAACCCAGTCCTCCAGGAGCACCTGAGGAGCTGTGGCTTGCGTTGCTTTCCCAGCTGTAACGTGGTGGGGTGAGTCGCTGCCAGTACCTTCCCCTCCAGACAGAAAAGCAACATGTTAAATCTATCACTCATTGGCTTCGAATGTTGTGCAGCTCATTGTAAGGCACAGGGGCAAAGTGCTAAAGGCCACCACCCCACAGCATGGCCACCAGCCTCTGCACCTGGTTGTACTTGGTACTGGGGGCACTGACTCGCAAAGGGGAGTCGAAGTTGGTGCTTGGAGAAATCTTGGTGGCACTTCTAGAAGTGCCTGTGCTCTTGTTTTAACCTAGAGGAGATGTAGGTGGTAAAAGGTAAGCTCTACAGATGTGCTCTCCATGCTTGCTTCCTTCCCACATCAATCCTCAGGCCAGGGGGACTCTGCAGCTATCCCATTGCCTGCTTCCTTCCAGAGCAAGGGCAGTCACCAAGCACACACTGATTGAGCCTTTCCTTCCTCTCTCTAGGCTTCAGTTCAAAGGAAGAATTGAATCCGAAGCCACCGGAGTCCATCTCCCAGGGGAACCCAAGTACGTACTTCAGACTTAATTTCATAATTAAGTAATACCATTCTAATAATTACACATTGCTAGAATGCATTCAAATTAAAATAGCAAAAGGCTTTCAAGAAAGCCTAAGAAACTTGAGCAACACATTTTTTCCTTGCAGAGGAACAGTGAGCGCTCTACACCGACCCCTCTCATACGCATAGTTGGGTTTTGCTTCTATAGGAAAGGAAATAACAGCCAAGATTTAGCTTACCTGCACAGGGAGATGGTGGCTGCTCACCGCTACCTCTTCTGGGCATTATCAGCTCCACCTTCCTTGGGCACAGATCTTCTTTCAGGAACTTTGATGGTACAGGACAACAAACCCATATGTTGTGGCCAGGGTTAGATGAGCAATTTGTCCATTAACTCATCTTTAGAGTGGAAGGAGAAAGAGGGAGCAAGCTCTGAGTGAAGACGTTGGGTTGTCTGCCACCTCCTCACGGGAAACCGCCCTGAGAGGGGGCTTCACCCTCCCACCAGCGCCTGGGTCCTCTCTTGCCCATCCTCCAGCGACTGAATGCTGTCTCTTGCAGGACTGTCATTTCAAGGTCTCTTTACATTAACTACTACTAACTACTGAACCAAATGTCTATATATTCCCAGGCACTTCTCCTAATACTTAGCAGTATTTTTTTCCTTATAAATCAAGAAGAAGAAAAGGGGAAGGATCTGCCTTATAGACCCAACTGCACCGCAGGAAAGCAGAAACTCCATGTAGCACAGACACAGGCAAGCACAGCTGTTTCCAGCAGTTGAACTGAGATAAGTCACACCAAAATTGAAACGCTCATCCTGTTCTAGGATCATAAAAGCTGTAATTCAGATCTTGCTTCCCTGCAAATCAGAAAGCACTCAGCTCCCTACAGAGCACCTTTAGCCGGTGCTCTTGCAGAGTCCTGCTAACGTTCCAGCGTCAAAATACTCCTGTTGCCTGACTCCTCCCCAGAAATTAAGTCTATATGTAAGTGTATGTAAATCTTCGCATGCCCGGAACCTGCTGACTAACAAACCCCCCACTTTCCACATATAGAGCATGGTGTAGCTCCCACTGAAGGACAAGAAATTGAGGAAAGCTTGGCTGTTAATTAAGGCATCATTTGTTGTGGGTTCCCGGCCTTGCGTCACGATCTGCTGCGAACGAACGCGGTTCTCAGTCACGCTTCTATAACTCAGCATTATTAAACCTAGAAAAACAGACAGCTACAGGAGAAAAAATTGAAGGTAATGAGATGGGAGGCAGTTGCATAAGCCAGTAAGAACAATCAGCGCTTTGTAGCCTTCGGGCTACCTAGTGATTAAAATACACTATTTTGGACAAACTGATTTCTATCACCAGACGGAAATCAAGAGATGGGGATGACCCGGACACCGGAGGGGGAAAATGTTAATTAGCGCTCTGGTTAAGCCAAATTTCAATCCCGCTCCTGGGTTGCAGTCTAACCGATGAATGTTTTACCGTTAACTTGCAGACACATAAAAGCAGGCTGGCAGTGATGAAGCCAGCATTCACAGAAGCACAAAGATGAGGTTCATCTATGTCATTAAAGGGAAGAGGTTGTTTGGGTGCAGGCACAGCTTTTCTAGAATATTGTTTTCAGACCAGAGAGGCAACACAAAACTGCTGCTGCTGCACACACAGGTACAAGCCCAGAGCTACATGCAAAGAGTCCCCACTTAGTCTGAACACAGCAAGTGAATCGTCATCCCCCCTTAGCTCCAGCTCAGAATGAAGTTGTTGAATGATTTGCATTCAAAAGTGCAGAGTTGCCAGGACTGCTGTCAGCAGCTCCTTGAAGAGACCCCACAATGTCCTTTCCGCTGAAGCATCCTCGGCATCACACATTTTAGGAACTGAGTGGGTCTTCCCTCCCTTCTGAGCAGCATTAACACAGTACGTAAGGAACTAACTGCTCCTGTTACATCCAGTATACCAATTAAGTCCACAAAAGCATAACCAAGGAAATCCCTGTAGTCAGTGCTCTGCAGGTGTCCAGACCACAAAATCCAAGTGTCATGTCTGGCTTTACAAAATCTCACCACCTCTAGGCTGCGAATAAAGGGGGCTGAGCCGAAGCCATGGCTTTGAGGGAACATGGTATGAGCCAGCTTGCTCCTGCGTGGCTGACCTTTCCTCCCTAGCCTCCAAACATGGTACTCCCAAACCTCACCCTTGGGAATGGCTTCTGGCCCTTTTATCACACAGACAGGATTGGATGTTGTATGGGAGAAAATCATGCCAAGGACTTCAGTTACCAAAGAGCAGCACAGACTTGAGCCCCCAGCTGTGACTTGTCCTTGTCAAAGGCCTTTTAGTAGAGCTTGCACAGCAATACACGTCACTGGATGCAGGCTTTTTAAGCTTTTGCCCCTCACAAGAAGCACAGGTATCAGAAAGGACTAAAAGTATTCTCTGTGTTTCTGTGTCTCTCCTCAGATTGCAAGATTGATTTGTCCTTCTTGATGGATGGGAGCTGGAGCATTGGTAAACGCCGTTTTCAGCTCCAGAAGCGGTTCCTTGGTAATGTGGCTCAAGCCCTTGGCATCGGCAGTGCTGGCCCTCTGATGGGCATTGTTCAGTATGGGTAAGAGCTTCTCCCTTTGCCACAGGGCCCAACCACACACTGGCAGCTGTAGCTCTGCAGCTGACACATGCTAAAGGTCTCACTCCATCTTGAATTCAGGAGCCAGGTAGCACAGAGAGGTCCTACAGCTTTTGTATTGTTACAAGTGAACCAGAAAACTGACAGCTGCTCTCATTTCTTCTTTCAGCGATGACCCTTCCACAGAGTTTAACTTAAAAACTCATACCAACTCCAAGGACCTAAGAAATGCCATCGAGAAAATCCCACAGAGAGGTGGACTTTCCAACGCTGGTAGGTGATGGGGCTGCTTGCACATCCTCAGCTCAGGGAGGGCTCCAGAGCCTGAGCTGTAGAGAGCCCACACCTCCCTGAGTGTGGAGGCTGTGACTGAACAGTGCTCAGCCCTCGGGCAGGGCTGGAGAGCAAGTACCACTCTCCATGACCTTCTTATGCTTGTCCAGGGCACTGCGAGTACATCACAAGTGGACAGGATTCACCTTTCTCCTCAAGAGCAGGGATCCTTGTTTACTCAGCTTGTCATCCTAGCCCCTGTGGGACACAGAGAGCAGATGAATGGGCTTCAGCAGAGGAGGGCACAGGAGGCATTGGCACTAACACCAGCAACCTTCCCTCCTGCTTGCACAGCCACTGAAACCACTGAAAACCCAGCTGCTGGCAGGGCTCCAGAACTTGAATCAGTTCTCTGCCCACCATTTCATGAGGTATTATCAGGCAGAGTGCTTCCAGACCTGTAACTCATCCTCATCTCCTCTCTTATTCCAGGGAAGGCGCTTTCATTTGTTAACAAAAACTTCTTTTTGGATGCTAATGGAAACCGAGGTGGAGCACCAAATGTGGTTGTAGTGGTGGTGGATGGGTGGCCAACTGACCAAGTGGAGGAGGCCTCCAGGCTTGCCAGAGAATCAGGGATCAACATTTTCTTTGTCACTGTTGAAGCAGCTACTGAAATTGAGAAGCAGAACGTTATCGAACCAAACTTTGTGGACAAGGTACTTCCTGGGCTGGGCTCTGGCCAGAAGCTTGACTCTGACTGCATTTTCCAAGCTGTTTCCTTCAGGGCATCTCCCTTTCCTTCTTACCACTTACGGTTATTTCTTGTCCTACTTATGCTGTATTGAGGGCTCTTGTATGAAGAGCCAGGCAGCAGTACTGAAGTCAGAACGGGGATGAAGTCAGTGAAGTTCTGGTTTGAGGTGCATCATGGACCAAATGGCTTTTTCCTGACTAAACACTGGCACAAACCTGCAGCCATACTGAGGTGAGAGTTTTTCCACATACACAGCGGCATGACAAAGCACAGTTGCAGCCTGAGCTTTCCACAAGCCGTCTGCTGTGCATCTCTCACCCAGTAAAGGCTGAGATGCCCTGTCAACCTAATGCCAGCGTTGCATTTACAAACATCCCATAGGTGCAAACGTCAGGATGCTCCCAACACAGGCGCACCCCAGTTGTTCGGCTATGCTGGGTAACTCAAACATTTTGTTTCCACTGTTGACCTGATGCAGGTTAATTTTCTCTTACCTGTTTCTGCTGCTGTGTACTTTATGGTAGCACTTAGAAAAAGAGTAAATCCTTGCCATGTGCAGCAAAAAGAGAGAACACAAGCCTTGAACAATTTATATTTGGCACCAATGGTTGCTGTCTGCTCAACAGTGTTTCAGGGCAAGCTGGCACCCAGTTATGGCAGGAGGTATCTACCGAGTGCCAGACAAGGCTGGGCTCAAGAAAGCAGGGTCGAGTTAGCTGGTATTTTCAGAAAACAGATGCCCATCTGGGCTGTGTTGCTCTGCCATGAAATAAATCTTCCATGAGTTCCAGAGCTGCTCCAGCGAGCTGTGCTGTCTCTGGGCAGCATTTAATTGGATTGTAGTCTTATTTCCATTTAATGTATTTAAAAGAGCAAAGCTACAGGGAGTCTCTGCAAACCTGCCAAGGATGCAGCAGAAGTGGGAGTAGAGTGGGGTCAGAACAGGAAGGTGAAGAGGGAATGGTGACTTGATATTGCTGTATTGTAACACTAAAACAGCAGTGACACAGTAAAAACAAGAGCAGGACATGGTGAGGAGCCCAGACTGGTGGGAATCCTAGCTCCCTTGGATCTGTTAGGCAACATGCACGTCAAGACCAGGCACTGAGAAAACAGTGCCTCTGTCTTGAAACACTCTCTTGAACACTTGAAACACTTTCTTGAAACACAGAGAAAGTTGGTAGATAAAGCCTGCCTTAACAAAATACTCTTACCTGGAGACATAAGCATTAGCACTTAAAAGCTGCTAAAGCCAAGGACAATGTGATCCAGCTTGTCCCCCACTACCCCACAGTGGACTTCTTCCACTCCCTCTTCTGTGCCACACCTGATTTCTACCCCTGCTCCCCTAATTCCTACTAACCCTACAGAAGACTCCTACAGATCTGCTCCCCACAAACACTGAGTTATAAAGACTTGTTTTACTACGTAGCAGTGCCAGCATAACCTTTATGGGCTTTCTGCATTTTTACCAGAATTGCCTGGGTTTTTGTTTAGAAGAGTATGGACCCAAGAGTAACCCAGCTTCAGTGCCAGGTTTCAGGTCAAGGCGGTAGGCCTTGTCAGCAGGCAATGTTTTCCTTGTTGCCCTGAAAAACAGGAGCTGAAGCTGCCCACTGGCAAACGTACACGTTCCCAAGATGCCCACTGGAGCCACAGCAGCTCTGTGATCTGGATGGTTTTTCTGTGAGCAATATAACCCCTCTAAAAAATCTTGACAGGTGGCAAACTCTTTTACTACATTTCTTTTGCTACTAGAATATGAGCTGCATCCCACAGCTTTAAAAAAAGGCAGGAGAAACTGCCTCGTTACACAAGTATGTGTGATGTTACATTGACATAATTTCCCAGGGAAGCAGATCGTGACTGGAGGAGAGGTCATTTCAGACTCCAGCACTCCTCTTTCCGGGAGCCTATATTTACAGTTTAGGTGCATACCCCAGCTGAAACAGGCAGACCAAATTTCCACAGCATTCATCCTTGTGTTGCCTTGCAGGCAGTGTGCAGGACAAATGGTTTCTACTCCATCAATGTGCCCAGCTGGTTCAGCCTATACAAGGTGGTGCAGCCCCTGGTGAAGCGGGTCTGTGACACCGACCGGCTGGCCTGCAGCAAGACGTGCCTCAATTCGGCTGACATCGGTTTCGTAATCGACGGCTCCAGCAGCGTCGGCACCGGCAACTTCCGCACAGTGCTGCAGTTTGTAGCCAACATCAGCAAGGAGTTTGAAATTTCGGACACCGACACCCGCATTGGGGCTGTTCAGTACACCTATGAGCAAAGGCTTGAGTTCAGCTTCGACAAGTACAGCACGAAGCAGGATGTGCTGAGCGCCATTAAAAGGATCAGTTACTGGAGCGGTGGGACCAGCACGGGAGCAGCCATCAGCTACGCCACAGAGCAGCTGTTCAGCAAATCCAAACCCAACAAACGGAAGATCATGATTCTCATCACAGATGGCAGGTCTTACGATGATGTCAGCGTGCCGGCCATGGCCGCTCACCAAAATGGTAAGCTATTCTCTGCCACCTGCTCTCCCCAGGTGCCCCAGCACCAGAGAAATGCAGTTTGATACAATTGCAAGACACTGGATGAAACTTTGTGCAGGAAAAGTAGCATCTTAGCCTGGGGTCTCATTGAGCTCTAACAAGACCAGCATCTGTTTAATGACTTAATGAGGAACTTCAGGAAAAACTAAAAGCAACAACCAACCAAACAAAACTAACCCAGTGACAAATCCAACACACATAAATCTAGCAAAAACCAGCTATGTCTAGGAGATGTCAGTGGATTTCTACTTAGGTAGACCAGAAGCCTCCTTTAGCTTTCCAGTCAGGACAGTCATGTATCTTCCAACACAACTGTAAGGTATTTGCATCGGAACAAGAACCTTTTGCTCAGGAGCCTGTTGTTCAGACCCAGAGCAGAAGCTTGACTGTTGTTTCAACCCTTCTGCTCTTGGCAAAACATAATCCAAAAGTACAAACTAGACCCTTCCTCCAATTGAAAATACCATTTTCATGCAGACAGTGAGCACTCAACTCACTGCCCACATTTTTGTGGCCAGTTATGTCTTATTGTAACTGTCTTTGTACCACTATTGGTCTTGCATCAAATTTAACACAATGATAACTTTTTTTGCTCATTCTAAACTGTTTCTTTTCAGGAGTTATAGCTTACTCCATTGGAGTTGCTTGGGCAGCCCAAGATGAACTGGAAGCCATCGCAACAGACCCCGATAAGGAGCATTCCTTCTTCGTGGATGAATTTGACAACCTCTACCGCTTTGTTAATCAGCTCATCCAAAATATTTGCACAGAATTTAATTCCCAGCCACGGAACTAATGGGCTCAGGCAAGGCAGGACCCGTGGGCACCAAGCTGAAGGCACACCAAGTGCCACAGGAGTAATGCCAGCCCCCAGTTCAAGAAATACTGGAGGTGTTTTTCTCTGGCACTTTCTAGTCAGCAAGGTTCATTGCAGCTCTGTCCCTGTGCATGATAGCGCTCTGTTGATCATATTTTTCTTTCTTTGTGGGCTTCAGAAATTCTGATTTGGATGGATAGCGAAAGAGGCAGTAAAAACACAGTGAAAATAACTGGAGCTGTTTGAAAAGCTGCTTCCAGTCTAGAGCCCTGGCTTACCCAATTCCCACCTTTTGGCACACACAAGCTCCTTTAAAAGCACCACTTCCCTCCTGAAGCGTCCAGGTTCCTTCAGAGAGCAGCCTCAGCTGCTGCAGCAGAAGCACCTCTGTGTGGCACTGCCCACCAGGTGACACCCAGGTCAGGGCTGAAATACCAGACACTTTTTTTGGGGGGAAGGAGGGAACACAACTCAAATTTGAGTACCTTCTTAAGAGCAGGCGCCCTCTCCATACACCTGTCTTGCCAGTAGGTTAAGCTTCAGCTAGTGTAAATTCAAGCGTTGAGTTTTATCCAGACTCAGAGACTGGAAAGCAAGTGAGAGGAACAAGTCAAGCTGTGGGACCCTGCAGTCATGTCAACCCCAATAAAGCCCAATATCCACAAAGCAGACAACACGCAGAAACTGCAATCTAGTCTCCTACAGCACTGTATTAGTATTTGATTTTGAAAAGTGCCTTTTCCCTTTAGCTCTGTTGCTCCACTCTTGTACGTCCCAAGGCCTGCAAAACCACAGGAGAGCTGCCAGGACAGAGGATACACTGAGAAAAATTGTGGGTTTAAGTTGCTTGCAATCAGAAAAGCATTTGAGACCCACTGCTCTGTTGTTTAACCACAGCTCAGAACAGCTTACAGCAGTCTCTAGTGTGAGGAGAGCTATTCGAAAGCCATTAACAGGATTTAAGAGGGAAGTTCTGAATTACACACTGGGAAAAGCAGCACTACAAGCATTTACAGACACCCTTTTTCAGATTTGGGATTGACTTCTGTTTTATGGATTGATTTCAAAGTGAACCTATGACAGCCCTGGACTGTTCAAAACATACAGTTGTTTCCGAAGGGATGAACTAGCCATATCACTGGTCAGTAAGGGAGGACTGACACGTTAAAAGGGTCAAAAGAACTGCACTTTAATTAGGAAGCAGCCGTTACTGGTAATGTTTCCACCCAATATAATATGTTCATTGAGCAAAATTATGGAAGGAAAGGGGTGGAGTTCCAGAGCCAATAGAAATGTGCATGTTCATGTACCTTCTGGAAGTCAAAGCCACACCACATCAGGCTTGTGGAACTAAACACAAACTGGGAAGGAATTAAAACTCATATTTCACATCTTACTCACAAAGCAAGCTTTTAATAGCATTTACAGTTTTAATAGCCATGACCCAGGATGTTTATTAGTAACATAAAAATGTTAATTGAAGTGAATTGCCATAAGGGAGACTCCTTTCCAACAATAAAAGTAGCACAATTGGTACGTTTGGAAATAGAACTGAAGCAGCCCCAAAATTACCCATTAAGTAAGCACAACACAAACTAATGAGAACGTTAGGAGTCTACATGGTCTCCCTGATGAGGTAACATAAGCCAGGCTGTGGCCCTTTCTAGAGGGCCCTTCAAACCAATCCTGCATGAAACAGTGGTTTTACACAGGGAAAGTTCAGATCTTCCTCTGAGAAGAAAAATTCAGTTCCAGCTTTTACTGACATCATCAACACAACAATGCTACCCAGACAGAAGACACAGGGCACTTCCAAAACAAAGACATAAAATATATTTGTACGCAGAGTTTCTAATGCTAATCTGTGCTGCTGCACTTCCACAGTGATAGCTTCTTGGCTTCAAAAAAGTAAAGATAAAGGATAGAGAGCAATGTAGAAGCAGAGCAACCCTGATACCCCCATCTCCTGACCCACCTCCCTCACTACCATTCGATTGGAAGCATCTTTCTCTGTCGAGAAGGGACATTACATGGGCTGGACAAAACTCAAATGTATAAACTATACTTCCTGAGGACTTCAGTTCAGACACAAGATTTGTTGTCTGAAAACCTGTTTGGTTGGGGTTTAACTTGGGGCTAGCTGAGAAAAAGGCCGAAGTCTTAACTTTCAGCTGCTCTTAACACTGCTTTCATTTTGAATGCAACATTATTTTCTTCCATACTGGCTGTACGCATGGAGCATGGAAGATTGGTCACTCTGCAGAGACTGCCCAGTGTTTTGTTTGTGCTCTGCTGAAAGAGCAGCACAGAAAGCTGAGGGATTAGGAACAGTCAGAGACACACATGTGCTTTAGGATACACATTTTAATTTCTTCTGAAAGCTTGTATTTCAAGCAATGATAGTCAGCTTTCAAATGCTCTTTCACAGGGAAGTTCCACAGCTATCTTCTGTGTCAAGCATTTATAAAGGGCACTTCAGGGCTTGTTGTTGTTTCAATCTTAAAAGAACAACTATGGCACTTGGTTGCCAAAGTGCATTTTTATTAACTCCTCAGGATGACCTTGAAATTGTTAGATCTAAGTGTCAAAGTGGTTTAATGTTTATTCCAACTCTCATCTACACTTAGATGTCATAAACACTGCAAACTTAAGTGTATGCCCCAAAACTTGTAAGCATGCACCCATTAACAAAAGCAAGCACAGAACACTCCTCTCAACCTTTACCTTTCATAGTAATCAAAATACTTTCCATCTTCTAAAGTCTCTAAATACTGTTTTATTAAAAAAGCCAAGATAACTTACATATAAATATTCATAAATATTTGAAAGGGTGTATTTGTTTGAAGCAAGCAGCAGAACTCCTGTAACATAAACAAGCTGTTCTGAACTTATCAACACAAAGTGCTGTATCTTTTGCAATAAAATTGTCCCAAAGGCAAATGCAGTAGATGTTATTTTGTATGTGCTTAAAAAATAAGCACCAGATACGGTCCATGCTGTTTTAGTTTCCAAAATACAGCTGAGGTTCTTACTAGATTATGGAAGACCTAGAAAAGTTGGTAACACCCCAAGTGTTTCAATGTTGCCTTTTTATTACATGATCAACTGAGAAAAAAGCTTAAAGTGAGCTAGCAGAGGAAGGGCCACTAAATTACCTACCACAGGAGTCAGTCACTGAAGCAGTGTAATGGCTGAAAGACACTAAATCATGTATTTTCGCAAGTCTGCATGTTTGCTAGTCTGCAGATAAGATCACATCTTATTTGGAACCAGACTTTGTTTAGAAGCTGAAAAAAACCAAACCCCAAACCCAAACCATAGTCTCTACACAATTTCTAGATGCAGGGATGAATCAAAAGAGGATCTATATGCCCAGACACTTGATACTGGGCCACTCAGTTTCAAATGCCTGACTAGTGTGGTGAACCTGCCTCCTAGCTGAGGCACCCAGAAAAGAACGGCACCAAAGGGTTGGACTTGGAGGCCAGCAGCCAGCCATGGCTGGAAGCTGGCTGAACTAGTCGCCAGACACATAGCCAAAGTGGGTTGTCTAGGCACCCTCTCCCCAGGAAATATGCATCTTTGCATTCAGAAGCTTGACTGGTGGCGTATCACTGCTCAGCAATCGCAGTGCATAACACCCACCTGGAAATAAATGCTGACATCCATGGATGTTCTGGAAGATTCTGGTAGCTCTATGACACCACCTCTTACCTCTAACCCCAGCATCAGCTACTCACATTCTGCATGAATGACCCAATTAAATTCAAAGTTCAACCATCTCTTCAGAGAGAGAGAGACTCAGAGTCCTGTTTCCCAGCAGTATCTTACCTTGCTGTCTCAGAAGTGGGACACCCAGCACCCCTGCTGTCGCTGTGCCACCCTGCACAGAATGCATCACCTGCTGTGTGTGCCCTCCTGCTCCTCATCTGCTGCCACTTTGCTGGTTCATCAAGAGGAGGGTTTCCCCATGGCCACTGTTGAATTTTGCTTTTCTGACAGGTGGGCAGATGAGCTTCTCCTTCCTCCTCACATTCCTCCCTTCACAGCACATCAGGGAAACTGTTCCAGTAACCAGGAAAAGCTCTGGGGCTAAGCATCCGGACAAGAATGACCCAATCCTTAGTAAGTGTAACACCCTACCTAAACACCTAAACTCCACAGAAAATTATAAGAGTTATCTACTTGGCAAGTCAAAACAAGCGGTAAATACCAGGAATATTACCTAGACACCAAACACAAAGTCAGTTTTCTGTGGTATGCATACCTTACATGACCTCACGGTTGAACAATGTAACCCTATCATCCTTCCAGTTATTTTTCTCTACCCATTAGAAACATGGAAACCACTTGATCCCCATTCGTTTCCATTTCCATCTCAGTTTAAGAAGTCTTAGACAGTTCCAGGCCATCTACATTTGCTAATCACCTACATATTGAAAACACTGCAAGTTCATCTATATAGCCAAGTGCCTCAAATTCCTCAAAGTAGTCTCCTTTTTTCCCTTGTTAAAAATGTAAACTGGGGTGTGTCACAGGTTTTAGCACTGCATCAGCTAAATCACTCACAGTCAGCTGTCAGTCATACTGAACATCAAGAGACAAAAATAGTATTTTGAGCACCAATTTAACTCCAAGTTCTAATAAAGCTCAGTGCAGTTCAATAACTCCAACACTCACAGAAACTGCTTCCTTTTAAGCACAATGATAAATGGTAGTTAAAAGTTTCACCATATGGCCAAAAAGAATATACTCACTTTTCTCACACCCAAATAATTTCGGAGACGTATCTTGTTCACAGAATCATAGAATAGTAAGGGTTGGAAAGGACCTGAAGATCATCTAGTTCCATAGGCAAGCCCATAATGATATTAAGGCCTCCCTCATAGGAGGTCACTCCCAACATTTTTTGTGAAATCTTCCTTTTCCATACCTCAAGAGTCTTCTACTGACTCTCTCTGGCGACAGAACACTGGGGTGAATGCAACTGTATTGTCATTTCATACAGCAATTCTCCCTTTCCTTGGAGTGGGGATGAGTAGGACTAAATCAGACGGGTTATTTTATCTACCATCAAGAAGAGATGAGAACTTCACTTATCCCACCTACAAGTCTAGAAAAAATGGGATGGACCCACTAACAAGTTGTTCTGCTCAGTTCTGTGTAGTTCCCATACCACCCCCTCAGCAGTGCTGTTCTGAGCATCTTCCTGTAGCAATGCAACTACCATCTGTGATGTGTGGTTTGCTCTCCCTCATCCTCTCCCCAGGGGCAGAACCATGCACTTGTTTTTATGTTACATGAATGTTATCCCCAGGAAGTTCTCTGTGTCCTGCTGCGATCCCTGCGATCCACGCACCACCAACAGAGCAGCTCCTGCACAACTGCACTGTACCTGCTCCGCATGTCTGTTCACCCCATGAAGCCACTGGGGACTGTGTGCCTAAGGGCATGGAAAGATGTAGGCTGCCAACAGTGCCAACATGGCAGAACAGTACAAAACAGAGACATACGGAGAACAGAAAAACTGAGACACTACTGTAAACAGTAACACGCTGCACAGTTCAAAAGGGAGTTCACATAAAAGTTACACCATGCCCCTCCAAACTTGTCCTAGTCTAAGTGTACTTTTCCCTCCTCTAGTCTAAGTGTACTTTTCCCTCCTCGTGTATCCTCTGGAGTCACGTCTTGTGATAAAATACAATACTATGAACACAATACAAAATGTTGAAAAATAGTATTTATTAGCACCCAATTTACATAATTACATGGTACAAATGACACTTAACTGCTGCTGTAACATTAAATAAAGCCGCTTTTAAAAACCATTGCTTATTTCTGGAAGTCCATGTGATTTTGCTCAGCGCAGAATGCGGGTACAGTATATAGCTACCCCACTTCACTACTGTCATACCAAATACAAATACCTGCATGGTTACCTCAATGTGGTCTCATTTTAAACAGCACACTAACATAAGCAGATATATATAATTTTAATGACAAAATATTTACTTGACTTATTCAAGCAAGTGAATGTAGCTTTAAATATAACCTATCCAAGAAGTTTCACAGAATATGAATTGCAGTGAAAAAGAGAAAATTCAGGGCTGCAATTGAGAGCTCAAAAATATACTGGCATAGTTAAAAATAATCTCCCACTGAATTTTCAGTCTTTGCCATTTTTGATATTTCTACAGGATTTTAAACTACTGAACTTTAGTAAGAAGTTTAACATTGAGTGTCTGAAGAAGCACTTTCATTTAAAGCAAAAACTTACACTTTTTCTAATAAGTGCTTATCAAATCTTTGGAGAACGAATCACTTTTTCACTTCTATCATGTCCCATGATTAAGAAGCCTTTCTGAAATCATGAAATACATTAAGTTTACAGATGTTTACTCTCAAGAAAATTATTTCTTTCACAACTTAGAAAACAGAATTGCTCACTTAACATTCACTTTTGTACGACAGTAGCATTTAAATATGGTAATTTGGTGGCACTGAAATTCTGACACAAGACACAGCCTTGTACTGAGCCACACACAAAAAACTGACAAGCAGTCTGTTACTTAATGAGTATTTCTCATTTGGACCCACCACTCTGCAAGACACTTGAAGCCCAACACTGTTTCAAAATCATAACCTCCACATAATTCTGAAGGGGTGTCTTAATTTCCTGTAGCTCTTTATACACCAGTCACAGTAGCCTTTACAGATCAACTATCTGTTATGAAAATGACCAAAACCACAAGAGGAACAACTCTAATTACTAACATTTAAGTGGTTATGACCTGTAGCATCTTCTCCAAAAGAGAACTGTCAGGTTCAATAGTTATTCTTGTAAAGGGGAAAAAAAAGCATATTAATATAAGCAAAAAAATAAAACCAAACTACTGTCCATAAGGCAAAGAAATTTGTATTTTTAACCTGACAGTCTCTTTTAAAAGAACTGAAGATATTTATACAAAATACAACGCAGGTAGCTGATATGCTGACAAATGTCAACAGAAAAACCTTACAGCAACAAGTCTTCTCATCATGGATTTTCTTCTACAGTTTTTTTCATATGTGTGATTCAAGGAAAACATAGCACAAGACAACTTTTCGGTCTGCTTGGGCTATAAAAGTACAAGGAATTATAAGCCAACATGCTCAGTTTGCATTTCCAGAAAAAGTGCTAACACCTATGAGACAATTTTCGAAACCTATGCATGTTTGTAATGTCTGACCGCAAGGAAACAGTTCTAGGAGCCATATATCTGAAAACAAGCTATGTTCAAAAAGTACTACATCTTGATGACATGAAGAATAAAAAAATAAATTCTTGATGGAAAAATATTACCTTGAAGTCCATTGTTTATCCCTTATACAATGTATTTGGCTGCTTTTAGTAAGTCATCAAAAAATAATGAAAATATTTGGCCTGGCAACAAGCTATCCCTTCCCTTTCAGAACAGTACAAATCCAGCCACAGAAATCTTTTTTCAAAATCCCAGTCTAATATTCTGGTATGAGGACCAAGGGTTTCTTGAAATAGCAGGGAAGTAATTTTGAGAGCCTGCAATTCAAATTGAGGAAACACAAGCAGACTGGGTGGGCTTGAGGACCTTGTCAACACAAGGCTTTCAGCAGCTTAAAAATGCATGTGCAGACATGGTTTTAAACATGGGTGTGATCTCCCAGGATCACAGCATGGCATGGCAGCATGAGCAGGGCAGAACTAGTTTAACACACAACACCACAACCCAGACATAATTAGGAGAGAAGTTGGGCTAAAAAGTATATACTTTATATATATATTACAGTTCTTCTGTAGTTTGGAATTTGTCATGTAGCAACAAATCTCTCCTGACAATGAACCAGCTGAGACCCAACGAACTGAACTATTCAACAGGCTTTACACCTTCTGCAGTGGAATAGAAATTCTCAAAAATATCTTA